GAAATCCGAGAGCCATCTTCGATGGCATTCAATTGCTCTGTTTGCGCCTCGAACAGGACCATTGCCACATAAACTAAGCATGTGTAGCACGTTATGATAAAATTGACGCGCACAAAATGCAGGTAAAGGGCCACGACAGACAATCTAAAGCTTAGTTGCAGATTTATGGTCCAGTAAAAATTATAAAAAAATACTATATTGCCGGCATAGAAAATAGTGATGCCAATCCATAAGCGAAAAAGCCAACGAGGCAACGATAGCTCCAATGTATTCACGTTTAATTGTCCGGCTAAGTGAGTAAACGACTGCAGCAGAATCCGTTGCGATTCTTGCTGAGAACGAAGCCAGATATAAATCACTATTTCAACAATCGGCAGGCTCACGATAAGAATACGATGGAAATTATTTCCAGTGCTTGATTGCATATCCAAATAAAAGATGGATTTCTCACCCACAGTACCGAGCAGAGTGAACATAAAAATAATTAGCATCAAGAACTGGGAACTAAGGGACCAGAAATTGCACCTGATTTCATAGCAATTGAAAATGTTAGAGTAGTCGATGTCGGTTAGTCCCATATACCGTTGGTAGTGTATAAAACTAAAAAGTTTTCCTTGTTGCACTTTTACAAACATTCTGCTTACAAATTACACCAGCGTTTGGTTAAAAGTCGTATTTAAAACTGAATGCGCTTTGGGTTAACTCATGCAAACATTAAATCACTTGGTTGATCTAAATGTATTTAAATTAATTAGCTAATTTTGTGGAATTTATCTTTCACATTAGCCTTTTGCATTGCAAAGAATAATTAAACGAGCAGAAGTGCTTTACGCGTTTGTTCCCGACTCAGAGATACCCTACGAATTTATCAGTAAGATAAAACCGTTCTACTTCTAATATAGATGAATAGTTGTCTTAACTTTCAAGTCTCTATTACTCATAGTTATAGACAGGCTTTAAGTAGCTCAAACCCTCGTATGACTAATGGTAAATTAATGGATACGTTTCTCTTCCTTCAATTAAAAAGACAAAACACATTTTCAAATTAACCCAACAACTCGGGCCTAGTTGGGCGAAAACAAGCAATAGTACTCACCTGTCTGGCCAGGTTATTAACGACCAAAGGCATACATAGATACCAAAATATTGGTATCATCCAGCTGAGCACGTAGAGGACTTCTACAACTGAAGAGTGATCCTCCACTGTGGCTAAATAGCATATACATACTGCTTCCAAGAAGGAATACAGAGAAATAAATACAAAAGCGCCACCAAAAACCAGAACTATCTTTTCATGGCACAGCAACAAGAGCTCATCATGAATGCCCAAATTTCTGGTCAGCTTCTCCAGATTCATGTGGGTCTCGGCACGCAGCTGATATGCCTGTGCCTGCAGCAAAACCATCATAAGATAAACTAGGGATGTATAGTAGACTGTGATATAGTTGATTCGGACGAGATGCACATAAAAGCTGAGAGGTAAGAGTATGCACTGGACGTCCTTTGCATAACAAAAAAAATAACCAAGTGTCAGATTGCAGGTATATAAAACACAGAAAACCATCCAAAAGCGGCAAAGCCAACGAGGTAGGGTTAGCTCTAAGGTGTCGACTTTTAGACGCCTCGCTAGCTGAGTCAACATCTGCAGTAGCACTTGATGCGATTCTTGGTGTGTACGCAGCCAAATATATACGAATAACTGACTGATCGGCATAGCAATCACATATATGTGATGGAACTCGCTGCCTGTCTCGGATTGCAGGTTCACATATCTGCTGGCCAGCACATGGAGGAGCGACGCCATAAATATAAGCTGCGTGAGCAACTGAATGCTATATGACCAAAAATTTCCATTAAGCACATAGGCATGCAGAGTGGTAGAGTAATCGATATCGGTCAGTCCCATATAACGTTGGTAGTGTATAAACGCGAAAAGCTTTCGCTGTTGTGGTCTAATGTGCATTCTCTGTGCAAACAACACTTGCGTTAGGTTAAAAGCCGTCTGTATAACTAACTGCCATGATGGAATATTGGATTCGCTCAAGAAAATGAGTTTGATTATCAATTAGAAATATATACACTTTAATTAATTAGTATTGTGAAATGCGAAAAAGTGGAGAAAGCTCAACTAAAACCTACTATTTTGCAATGAGAAGCCCAACAAATATATTTTTGGTAGTTCCGTTTACGGTTTGAGCCAATGACAAGAAATTCCGTCTTTTTTTTTAAATTGCATTTAATTTACAAAATATAAAATTGTTTTCCTTTTAACTTTGTTTCAGCAAAATTAGTTACTTTTGTATGTTCGCAGTACTGCAAAAAGTGTTGCAATTACATTTGATGTTTAAATTATTAAATTTTGAGCAAGGCATGCAGCAGGTCTTATTGACTACAGTAAACGCTCACAAGATGAATTTGCACATAACATTGTTATCCTGGGCATTTTCTACCTACGCATCGTACTCACGCGAGTTTTTGGTATTGCTCATCGGTTATTTTTTTATTTTAATCCCTATAGGAAATATGATAAAAATGCGATGCGTGTTAAAGAATAAACAAAGACAAACATAAATGCAAATTTTAATAGTACATAGTTTGGAGTAAACGCATTTGTCCGAATAATAACTATTGAAAGTTGTTAAATAATAACTTTTTTTGAATATCTCCTGTGTATACGAACTTATTTTCGACTATACTCATACGGATCATGGCATATTGGGCACTGGAATCAAACCAGCACAGAATTAAATTGTGACACACAGAAAAAAGGCAGGTGAACGATCAGAAATTGATTAAGATAAGCAACAAAATTAGTGAGCGAGATAAACGCGAGATAACTCACAAATAAGCACACTGCCAGCAGGCTGAAGCATTATTTGAAGAGAACAGATTTTGGTATTAGGTGTGCCCTGTCTAAAAGCTGAATCTCTCAAGATTACGCTCCCATTCTGCCCACGTATTTGTTGTCAAAGTAAAATGAATTTGAAGATGAAAACAGCAGCAGTTGGTTGTGGATAAATGAAAAAATTGCACGCAAGATTAGTAGTTATTTATATTATTTGCAGCTTTTGATCATAAAGTATCTAAAGCCCATTTTAAAGCCCCAATTAAGCCCGACTTTAATTGTGAGGATCACAGAGCCTCCACAGTTTAATGTAAACACAAAATGCCATATCCAATTACCCAGTTTTCCCTTCGGTGTGTGAAATTTTCAATGTTTTGCCACCGTTTCTCCCTAAATCCCATTTGAGGGGAAACCTAATTCGCAAAACGGTTAATTCTGGAGAAAATGTAGCTTCTTATTTCGGAAAGTGCGTTGTTTGTCAATCAATCTGTCAGTCATTCAGTCAGGCCAAACTGTTAAATTAGTGTGTTTTCCAAAATGGGGTATTTCCTAAACAATCACTCTAGTAAATAGTAGTTAATTTTAATCAAAATAAAGAGACAATTAATCAGATTTGGCAATCTGTTTGTTATCAAGCTAAAAACTGTTTCGCTTACCTCATCAGCCAAATCGTTGATAAGCATGGGCATGCTCAAATAAATGGCGACTGGTATCAACCATCTGAGGATCAGTAGCATTTCCGTATAGGAGAATCCGTCCATGGGCAGAGCCAAATAGCAATCCTCAATGGCATCGAGCGTTGCATATAGATAGGGCAGGACCAAAGCACCGCCAAAGGCACTCACCATCTCGTTCTGGCACAAGAGCAGCAGCTTATCGTTCAGATGCAAATTGTAGGCTATGCCCGGCAGAGATATGCGTTTGGCAAGCAGATAGTGCTGCAATTGCGCTGCCTGTGCCCGAAACAGATGCTTCATCACGTGCACCAGGGAACAGTAGCAGGTGAATATGAAATTCGCACACACGAGACGCACAAAGAAGCCCAGCAGAAATATCAAATGGTCCAGCTGTGAATTCAAATCGACTATCACAAACACAACAATGTCCACGGCATAGTAGACGCACGTGAAGACCCAAAAGAAATAAAACCAGCGGGCACGCAGCTTCTCCATGTAAGAGACTCGTAGAGCCGCAGCCACACGGCTCAAGCCCTGCAGCAGCTGCAACTGGGATTGCTGATGCAAACGCATCCAGGCATTGGCAAACAGTTGGGTGAACGATGCAGACAGTATAACCAGATGATCGAAGGTATCGCCCGATCTCGAATCGGTGTCCTGGTAGTTGAGGGACCATTTCAAGAACGTGTCCACAATGCAATAGATTAAAATACCCTGCACCGCCAGGTGTATGAAATTCGCGCCACAGCTCCCCCCCAACACGTAACAATTCAGGTGTTTCGAATAGGCCAGATTGCCGAGGCCCAAGTAACGCTGATAATGCAAAAACTTTAAAATACGCATATTCTCGATGAATCTCGCACAATTTTTGTTCAATTTCACTTTGCAAACTGAATGAAAGTTTCATAGTTATTTGTTAAAACCCCATTTTAATTAGTTTATGAGCTTCGAAGTGAATTGCAACAGCTGCATCTGTTAAGTGAAGAGCTTAATAACAGTATTTAACTAAATGACACAGTCCGCCATGGCATCAGTTAAGAATTCCAGCTAATCCATTTGAGTGTAAATTTCTCTTTGAAACTCTCTCATCAGATAACACTATACAACGGCATTTCGTGTCCAAAATAATGGATAAGTTCAAATTAAAAAAAGATACAGTCAAATTTGTAATTAAATACTGTGAAAATTCCTGAGAGCAAAAAGCTCTTCGTTTAACATTTTTCATATTATTTATAGTAGAAAACAGTAGAAAACGATACGAATAGCAATTAATGTAATTTACAGTTGAACGGAATAAATTTTCAAGCTCTTTATAAAATATATTAATTTTATATATATATTTTAGTAGATGGGGACTGAGTCTTTAAGTTAATCGATTTCATGAAAATTTGGGTAAAGATAATTTGATTAGGATTACAAATTTAAAACGTTTACCAACACTAAATGATTTCTGATATATTTTTTAACTTAACTTACAGAAAAGTGAATTGGACTTTTTGGAATGGTCACCGCTGAACGATAGAAACTTAATGCCAGACGACTGGACAACGGATACATTGTTCTCGGCAATAAATGGACCATTTCCCTTTCCAGATTCAAGAGAGATCGGTAAGTGTCATTTTAAAAAAAAAAGATTAAAAAACTTGTGCAATAAAATGTAGCTATTTATTTTTGTACTACCCAAAGCACGCGGTGCAGGCATTGCGGACTTTATACAGCCAAGTCTGGGCCCGCTGCAGCCGAATTTAGATGATATCGACATTACCTTCTCAGGTAGATTTTCTAAATATTAATCTTGAAGTATATGTTTATGCTAAAGAGTTTTGATTAATATAGATTTGCTGACCACCACCGGCTCGCGCCTGCCACCCGTGCCCGAGGAGGGCACCGATGCGGAGATGCTCAAGAACGACGACTATTGCCTGCAGGCAATTGTTGGTGCTCCGCACACGCTCTACAGCAGCGACAATATGATGGAAGTGGTGGCCAGCAGCAGTGGCGGCAATGCTCAAGTGGACGCCAACATGCTGGAGCTGAACACGCCCATCAGCAACATGCCCTATGGCGACATCGAGCAACAGTTTGTGGCGGCACGGCAACAGGCAGTCAGCGATTCACAACAGCAACAACAACAGCAGCAACAACAGCAGCAGCAGCAGCAACAGCAACAACAGTTGCTGGGCGAGAGCCAATCGCCACGTTTGCATACAGTAAAACATTTTGGGGCCATCAGCAGCAATGACAGCAGCAATCGCTGTTCCGCCAGCGAGAGTTTCTCGAGCAAGAGCGTCATCAACGGACGCATTGCCAAGAATACGCAGCGTTTAATTCGACGCGAGCCGCACAACTACGACAAGGCGCAACCGACGCTGCATCAGACGACCATCTATCAGCAGATGCTGGCCGAGCAGCAGAAGAATCAGCAGCAGCATCTCAGCGCGGGCGCTGTCTTGCAGGCCTTTCAGACACCCCAACAGCAACAGCAACAGCAGCAGCAACAACAACAACAGCAGCAATTGCAGCAGCAACAACAGCAGCCGCGTTTGCACTTTCCCACGCAGCAGCAGCAGCAACAGCAACAAAATTCTTACAATACCCAAAGTTTTTTGAGCAACTATTCGGACAGCTATCAGCAACAGCAGCAACAGTTGCCGTCACAGCAGCAGCAGCAACAGCAACAGCAGCAACTTAGCGTCAAGGTGGAGCCGCACCAGGCGGATGTGTTGTCGTTGCTTAGCGATGGGCCCTACAACTCCATCAGCTACAAGCCCTATCCGCAATTCAAGAAATCCGCATCCACAGGCACCTTTTTGAATGTGCCGCGCGTCCCGCAACAGCAGCAACAACAGCCGCAGCAACAACAAAGCTATTTGCAACAAGAACAACAGCAGCCGCAGCTGCAGCTGCAACAATCGCTGCCCTTGGGCCTAGGTCTAAGCACACAGCAGCTCATGCAGCTGACACGCCAGCAACAGGCAGCCAATACACAGCAACAGCAACAACAGCAGCAGCAACATATGCAGCTGCAACAGCAAACGGTAGCTAGTCTGCTGCTACCTCAACAACAACAACAACAGCAACAACAACAACAGCAGCAGCAGCAGCAACCTGCTGTCAGCGTAGCCTCCTGGGCGACGCCCAACAGCAGCATCTTGCCCAAGGAAATGCATCGCTCCAACAGCCTCCCCCTAAACGTGTCGCTGCCGAAGCTCATCCATCACGAACAGCAGCAGCAACAGCAGCAACAATTCGCAGTGCCCAAGTACCATGCCAAGGGGAAGTCCCGCGTGCGCAGCAATTCCATGCACCAGCAGCACACAGTTGTTGCCGCCGGCGGCGGCTCGCCCGTCAACAATGGACACGGCAACAGCAGCAGCAACCTGCTTGTCACCCAACAAATGCAACAGGCAACCAGCGATCCCATGCTCAACAGCACGCTCGCCCAGCTGCTAACGTCGAGTAAGTTGACCATATTCATATACATATATTTCTGATGTATGTAAGACTTATTCAAAAACGCATGACACTGCTAACAAGAGAGAAAACGACTTTCTCAGGCACACAGAAGATTAAACACCCTTCCAGAGCTATGGCTTATGTTTTTGCTGATATGTGCCTGACTGTTCCCAGGCTCATAATTGCTTAGTTTGGGGAAGATATGTTGAAGCGCACCACATTTTTCGATACATCAATTTATTATACGACTGGGTTTTATCTCTTATACAACAGTAAAACGAAAATTCTCCACAGTTTGGTCAAGTTATTTAGATAAAGAAATAAGTGTTTAATAATAGAACTTAATGCTCTACCGATCATTGCTATATGGATGCTTTATGATATAGTAATCCGATCCGGCCGGTTGCGACATAATCACTGCCTGCAACAAATGAACGGGCATATGCAAAGTTTCATATCGATCATTCATTTGATCAAGAATATATATACTTTTACCTTCTATCCACATTCCATGGCAAAATTATAATGCTCTTAACAAAGCTTTAAATAAAGCTCACAGAAATTATCCAGGCAAAATTTATTAATTATTACTTTTCCCATTTTGGCATATCAGATCAGATAATATATGTATTAATTTTCCTCTTCTGCACTTCAGATACACGCCTGCAGGCAGCCGTGGCCAACAAAACACAGCAGTCAAATTCTTCCGCCAATGCCATAGCCAGCGGCAGCAGCAACAACCATCAGCAGCAGCAGCAGCAGCAATCGCTGTACGTCAGCAATGCATCAACGTCGCCGCTGTCGGTGCCCGTGCCGACGCACCAGCATTCACCAAAGAAGTCCGCCTCGTTGCCAGTTGCGATTTCTGCACCGGCGCTACACAGTCCGCCTGGAGCGAAGATGCTCGGCTTTGGGCAGGGCAACAATCCCAATTTGGGCAGCAGTCTGAGCTTGTCGCCGGACTCGCCGTTCCACGACTCACAGGACTCGCCGCTGCCGTTGTCGCCGACGACCAGCCTCAAGTATCTGCCACGGGATACACAGCGTCGCGCCGGCCACATCCATGCGGAACAGAAGCGACGCTATAATATTAAGAACGGCTTTGATACCCTGCACGCGCTCATACCCCAGCTGCAGCAGAATCCCAATGCGAAGCTAAGCAAAGCGGCGATGCTCCAGAAGGGCGCCGATCACATCAAACAGCTGCGCCAGGAGCGCAATGTACTCAAGGACAAGATCGAGGCGTTGCGAATGGAGCGCGATGCTTTAAACAACTCCCTCATGTAGGTCACAATATATATATAGATATCATGATTCAATTGCTCATCTATTCTTATTCTATTTCTTTCTGCAGGCACCTGCACTCGGTGCTGCCTGCGAACGGTGCACCCGTTACAAGGCAGGGCACGGAGCATGTGCGTCAGCTATATGAGGTCTATGTACGCTACAATACGATGAACGATTGGAAGTTTTGGATTGTAAGCTTCCCCTACAAATTCTGATAATACTAACAGTAAAATACATTTTTCACGAAATATGTGACACTTATATGGAAACAACTCGGCCATATAAGTATTTCTATTCCTGATAAATATCAAAAACCGTGTCAGTATAGGCCGTTCGCTTGTCTGTTTCCTACTTTGCTGTATCATATAACTATCATAGCTAATATGGAAAACGTGTTTGATTTGTCCGTTTACTTACTTTAAAACCTATCAAAAATGCATTAGTTTGTCGTTTTATAAAAAACTCACGATAGATCGCATCGCAGATCGCGCATTTGTAATTTTCGGCACTTTGAAGATAACAGTTGTTCTTTTTATATTCATGTATAAATTGATTTTCTCCACAGCTGGGTCTCATTCTGGAGCCCTTATTGGCCTCTTACACGTCGACCGTTTCCAGCGCCAGTTTGGATGAACTGCGTCGCACCGCCTTTCTCTGGGTGGATCAGCACTGTTCGCTTATAGATCTGCGACCTGGTAAGTGCGCCTGATCATGCTCCCACAGGAACTTACTAATTTCGCTCTCCCTTTTCTCTCTTCAGCTGTTACGAACAAATTAAAGTACCTATCGATGCACACGGACATTGTCTCGGAGCCGCCCAGCACGCTGCAGGAGGAAGTGGCTAAGGCTCTGCAGAACACCAGTGGGCAGCATCCGAATCTGCATGGCTCCTAACCGTTGTTGCTGCTCGTGATATGAATTTAAACCAATTGCTACACTAAATCCAATGTCAATGCAAACCGTTCGCCCTGCTGGCAGCTACACATTGTACAAATTGCCCCGCGCGGGGGCAGAAAATGCCACAACAGCCACCAGCAGACGCCGCTGCAACTGCAACTGCAGCTGGCGCAAAGCTAAGCAGCATATAGTGCCTATAATTCTATGACTTAAGTGTAAAATAAACGTAACGATTTTACAATTTTTTCAAAAAATAACATGTTTTGCCCTTGGTGTGAAGATACCTTTTCCATACTGATTAGATGCACCAAGTCCTTTGAAAATCCGCAAGGATTTGATCGGCTTATGGCTGATTTTCCAACTAGGACATTATTTACAAAATCGATCTTATCTTGGCCATTTCAAGGACTTTACCGAACTCCTTGGGCGGGCAGTTAGTCCACATCTTCGTAATTCTAAATTCAAAAGAAACCTGGCGAAAGTCCTTTAAACAGCCAAGATATTGAGACTTTTTCTGTACAAAGAATAAGGATTCTGACAAGTCTTATGCCAAATAACACTTATGAACCAAGACTATCGACTGGCAAAAGGACATCGAAATCGTCCTTCAGATTTCCTGGATAAAGCTTATTTTCTGAAAAGGACATTCTATTTATAGCCTTAGTTCGGCCAAATCCTTAAGGATATCAAAAGGATACACTTTTTTGAGTTCGTTAGGAGCAGGACTATCAATTGGCATTAAAGGATTTTCAGGATTCTACAAAAAAAATTTTGTTAATTTCTGTAAGGGGGTTAGTCAGAAAATCGAAAATTTCCATAAAAACTTTGCCATTTGAAGGACGATCTGGATGTCCTTTGGACAGTAGATAGTCCTAGTCCTACCATTTACGAATATGCAACCAGAAGGACGATAGTCCTTCAAACAGCTGAGAAAACAGGACTTTTTTAACAAAATTTTTGCACATAAAATAGGCTATAGCTTGGCTATATCCTTACGTATCCTGACGAGTCCTGTCCCAAATAGATTGTATGGACCATGGCTACAATGTGGCCAAAGGGCATCCAGATCGTCCTTGTAGTTTCGGAGATATTAAGGATTTTGTGTATTATGCCCATTTCCTTAGGCGCCGCGACTGAAAAAATGATCAAGTCCAGGATTCTTAGATGACCCCCCAATATTTTAATGCAGATCGATGCGGCTGGTCCTCACGATCCTAACGCACCATGTCCTTTGAAAATCCGCAAGGATATGGCCGAGTTATACGCATTTAAAAATCGGCATTTCATTTGGTCGGCCAAAAATATCATTGCATACCCGAAAGGGTCGCCGCTTGGCGGTCGTCGGCTGTCGAGATTTCTTAAATTCTGCTGAAATACCAGGCGAACAAAAGTGCCCAGCAAGCAGACGAAAATTTATGAGAAAATTTTTTATTGCATACCCGTAAGGGGCAAAAATGTTAGGCTGCTGCTGATTTGCAAAATTCTTAACAGTCGACTGTTACTGCTAACAGTTTAATGCTAATAACAACGCCCCTGGAGGGTATGCAACAATATTTTTGGCCGACCAAATGAAATGCCGATTTTTAAATGCGTATAACTCGGCCATATCCTTGCGGATTTTCAAAGGACATGGTGCGTTAGGATCGTGAGGACCAGCCGCATCGATTTGCATCAAAATATTGGGGGGTCATCTAAGAATCCTGGACTTGATCATTTTTTCAGTCGCGGCGCCTAAGGAAATGGGCATAATACACAAAATCCTTAATATCTCCGAAACTACAAGGACGATCTGGATGCCCTTTGGCCACATTGTAGCCATGGTCCATACAATCTATTTGGGACAGGACTCGTCAGGATACGTAAGGATATAGCCGAGCTATAGCCTATTTTATGTGCAAAAATTTTGTTAAAAAAGTCCTGTTTTCTCAGCTGTTTGAAGGACTATCGTCCTTCTGGTTGCATATTCGTAAATGGTAGGACAAGGACTATCTACTGTCCAAAGGACATCCAGATCGTCCTTCAAATGGCAAAGTTTTTATGGAAATTTTCGATTTTCTGACTAACCCCCTTACAGAAATTAAGAACATTTTTTTTGTAGAATCCTGAAAATCCTTGAATGCCAATTGATAGTCCTGCTCCCAACGAACTCAAAAAAGTGTATCCTTTTGATATCCTTAAGGATTTGGCCGAGCTAAGGCCATAAATAGAATGTCCTTTTCAGAAAAATAGCTTTAACTAGGAAACCGGAAGAACGAGTTTTTTAATTTATTATTTTTGTTAATATTTATAGTTTTTCAATTAATTTTAATTTCTTTTTATTTTTATTAAAATGATACAAATATGAGTAGAAATTATCTGTGTTTCTTATTTAAACCAAAAATGCCGTTTAAAAAGGCCGATCATGGAAAGAATAACCTTCTTGGATTTTTGGAAATCCTGAGACGCGAAGTCCTTGACTTATGCAATCTGAAATGATAAAAGTACATTTGAATAAAACAAACCAATGAAAAGATAATTTTTTAAGGTCATGGCTTATGAGGGTCTTAAGAGGCAGCCGCAATGTCCTACATTATTAACATATAAAAACTATTTATTTAAGAATTTTGGACTTGTCAAATTTTCCGTGTTAACTGAAATTATAGTTTTGGGTTGTACATGTCATTTAAATTTCGGACCCGATAAAATTAACATGCATTTTATATTCAATATCCTTAAGTGGATTTGGCTCATATAATTAAACATTTAATATGTTACATTTTATAAAAGCTTCAAATGCAACTGCTTTAGGCCAATTGACAACTAGGTTCAAGTTAAGTGAGGCGAACTCAAAGCAGACTAAACAAACAGCGCCCAGAAAATTTAGCAAGCAATATTATACGAAACGAAAATATGAAGCGCATACATATATGAGTCATCAGTGTAACTCTTCTTTTGTTTTGGTGCCTTTATAGTACATTTGAATCAATACATGCTTGTATTCAAGACAAAGGCAGTTCATATTTGTCGTTTATGTGCGCCTGGTAGTAAGAGATGTCATCCTACATTTACTTGAATGTGTGGCTGTGCTGATGCCTTTTTCATGTTAAGTTAATTTTAAATATGTAAAGTCTCACATTAAATAATTAACTTTTAAACATATTCATGAAAAAGCATCTATCTATCAATACATAAATTAAAATGCAATCATGTACTATATTATCAATTAATTAAATTTTCATTATTCACGTAATCGGCGTTTATTCTAAATATTGAATGTTTGAAATACATTTAAAGCTAAAACGTCTGGTCCTAGAAAGTTTCAAAGGTATATTTCAGGGTCGATCATTATTTTTTTTTATCTTTTGTTAATTTGATAAATGCATTTTATTTCACTTTTTTTAAGTAAACAAGAACTTATAATGCACAAAAAACTAATTCCAAATCGGTCACAAAAGACATAAAAATAAAATAAAAAATAAACTCGGTATAACTAAATCAATAATGTCAGGCAGGCACGCCACGTATTTAAGTAAACATACGGTGCCATCTCTTATTACCAGGCGCACATAAGCAACAGCGTGCTTGAGTTAATCTTCAAATTCCTTTTCTTCGACTAAGAATGCGTGGGCACACAGCAAGTGTAAGCTTGAGAGAGGTGACTTCTGCGCTCAGAGCACAGAAACACAAACTTGCGCACATACATTTATGCTCTCTTCTCTCTACAACACTTGTGTGTGTGTGTGTGCTTACTTGTTATCTTGTTTATCAACTTTTGCATAGTGTGTATACTTGTGCGTTATCTACCTCGCTCACGAAATTTTATTTTTTACTTCTCGTTCCAATTAATAATTTCTCGTGAGATCATTTGCCTTTTCCATTTGCGCTTGCTTTGCGCACTCGCAACTTAGTTTTGTGTTAAGTTGACCCCGGTAGTCAATTGCACATTTACTCGTTTCATGATTATGTTCAGTTATTTGCAAGTTGCGCAGTTAGCTTTTTAAATAATAAAAGGGAGTTTAGAGCAGCGTCAATTACCCGAATACTATCGATGCAAGCTTTTTAATTAACAGTTATGTTTGAATATTCCGGATCTGATTTTTAAGTGTACTCATACGGCTTATGCTATATTGACTACTGGAGCCAACACAACGCAGAACTAAGCTGCGGCGGAGCACAGAAAATAGGCAAGCAAACGGTCACAAGATAAGCGATAATCAACAATAAAACTCGAGAGAGCGAGTACACACACGCATACACAAGAATAACGCAGGGGAACTTTTCGTAGCGACACTAGAAGAGAGCAACACGTGTGTGTTGCTGTACTCTGAGTGCAAGTCGGCTCCCTCAAGCCTACGCTCTCCGCGTAGTATTCTTGAGCGAAGTAAAAGTAATTTGCGTTTAAAATCAATCAACAGCTGCACATTTTGTGCGCCTGGTAATTAGAGATGGCATTTTACGTGTACTTGATGCCGTGTGGGTGCTGGCTGCAGCCATCGTTATATTTGAAGCTGAAGTTTAATTTTCTTTCTGTTTTCTTTGTGATCTTAATATAGTTTTGAGTTAAATAGATTTTTGATGCAATTTAAAATAATCAATTGTACTAGCTAATTTATTTAAGAGATATAGACTGCAATATGAACGATAATTAAAAAATGTATGTATACCTTTTTGATTCGTATGAGGTATTAATTAGTTCTAGAGAATTTGACGGTCTCAATAATGAACTAGATATTTTCAAAATATAATCATATTTTTATTGAATCTTGGTATATTCGTTGAAAGTTTTTGCAGAAATATAACAGATTCTGTTGATACTCACCGATACTTTCCCGTATCCAAGAAAATATATCAGATTCAAATTTACCGTTTTGCATATGCTGCATAAGTTGAACGCGACGCATTTGTCGGGTGTTCACCAAGAGAATGAGCGCGAGGTAGTCAGACTGACAGACTGATAGAGCCCAATTTGATAAAGCTACTGCACTGCACTCTCTTATCTATTGATCGCTCTCTCTCTCTCTCACTCTCTGACTTAAGTCACATTCCGACCGCAATTAGCCTACACAAAAGGAAAATATAAAAATTATTAGAGTAGAGTTCAGTTGACTAGTTATTGTTGCAGAATGATCACCTTCGGCTTGCTGGCGGTGCTGTTGCTGGCTTGGCTGTGGCAGCGCTGGCACTTTGGCCACTGGCAGCGGCTGGGCGTGCCGCATGCACCCGCCGCGCCCTTTGTGGGCAATGTGTGGCGCCTGCTGCGCGGCTGTTGCTGTTTTGGCGACCAGTTCCGCGAGCTCTATGAGTGTCCGAGTGCCAAGGGGCAGGCATACCTGGGCATACACGTGCTGCACAATCATGCGCTGCTGCTGCGCGAGCCGGCGCTGATCAAGCGTATTCTCGTCGAGGATTTTGGCCAGTTCTCCAGTCGCTTTGAGACTACAGACGCCATTGGTGACACGATGGGCGCACAGAATTTGTTCTTCTCCAAGTACGAGATGTGGCGCGAGACGCACAAGATATTTGCGCCCTTCTTTGCCGCCGGCAAGGTGCGTCATATGTTTGGGCTGCTGCAGCAGATTGGCCAGCAGCTGGAGCAGCATATGGCCAGGCAGCTGACGGCGAGCGGCACCAAGGAGGGCACACTGGAGCTGGAGGTCAAGCAGCTGAGTGCGCTGTTCAGCACAGATATTATTGCCTCGCTGGCCTTTGGCCTGGAGGCCAATTGTCTACAGCAGCCGGACGCAGAGTTTCGGCGCATGTGCATCGAGGTGAATGAGCCGCGTCCCAAGCGTCTGTTGCATCTCTTCACCATGTTCTTCTTTCCGCGCTGCTCGCGCCAGCTGCGCACCCATCTCTACTCGGAGGAGTACGAGCGTTTCATGCGGCAATCCATGAACTGGGTGATGGAACAGCGTGCGGCCAGCGGGGAGCAGCGCCACGATCTGATTGACATATTTCTGCAGCTGCAGCGCACGCAGCCGCCGGAGAGCGTGGTGCATCGGCGTGACTTTTTCGTGGCGCAGGCAGCATTTCTGCTGCTCGCCGGCTTCGACACCTCCTCCTCGACGATTACCTTTGCGCTGTACGAGCTGGCCAAGCAGCCGGCCATACAGCAGCGCCTCAGGCAAGAGCTGGCGGCGGCGCTGCTAGGCAGCGGAGCCACGGCCGGACAGTTGGACTACGAGACGCTCAGCGGACTGCCCTATTTGCGGCAGGTGGTAGATGAGGTGTTGCGCTTGTATCCGCCCACTGCATTTCTGGATCGCTGCTGCAATGCCAAGGCTGGCTATGACTTGTCCGCCTGGAGCTGTGGTTCCGCCTTGAGGCTGCCGCCTGGCACGCCCGTCTATATTTCTGTGCTGGGACTGCATCGTGATGAGCAGGTTACGATTGGGCGCACCACCTCACACTTTTAAACACGTTCATCAATGTTTTAACTTTCGCAGTACTGGCCTCAGCCCTTGAAGTTTGATCCGGAGCGTTTCTCGCCAGAGCAACGGGTGCAGCATCAACCCATGACATATTTGCCGTTTGGCGCCGGTCCGCGCGAAAGGCCAAAGCCTTTGTGTTAACAGCTGCGGGAGGCACCTATTTGCGCTTCGTCCGGGATCCGCTGTGACAAAAAAAAACTGGACCATTGTGTTGCAGTTTTTTAAATTTTCACTTTATTGGGGTAATTGTTCACATATGTAGGTTCTGCTTTTTAGTTTATTTTAATTAAATTTTTTTTTGTTTTTAATTTTTGTTTGTTTTTAGCTTAAGATCAGCTCAAAAATGTTCACAAAATTTGTCAGTTGTTCTAGCCAAATACTGCTGGCCATATAAATGGCTAATCAGTTGTTATCTGCGCAGACCGTGGACTGTATTTATTGACTTGTAAGCTGGCTTATCAAAAAAGAATTGAACAAAGTGCATTTTAACAAACTATAAAAACTTAAAACCTATAAAACAAGAAATTTCAATTTTCAGTATCGAGTTACTTTAAGTGCAAATAAAATTTGATAATGCATTTAGACCATGTATTTTACCAACAATATTTAGCTAGCTTGACAATCAACCATATGTATGTTGTGTATTTTTTTGCGTTTTTCGGTTTTTGTTTTTCATTTTTTTTTTTCTTTTAATTTTTTACCATATACAATTTAAAAAACTAGCTCTCAAGCTACCTGGCTTATATCTTCACTTTTTACAAATTATCAAAAAAATAACTAAAGCAATTTTACACACTCGTCATTAAAGAACTAAGCTAACAACTAATTGCATTTTGTTTTTATATTATATTAGTAATTTATATATTAACACAAAAATGTTTATTTGTATTTAGCTTTTCTTTTTATACATAAAGGTATTCAGTTACAGAATTGAAATGTAATAATAGTATACAAATATGTTCGCACATTAATTTTGCTAGCTACGAATCGAATTTAGCAAAAATCAATAGTTCTTGATTGTTATTTCAAAAGCAAAATGCAAAATTTACTGTAAAGATTCTTTTTTTTTTTTTTTAAAATGTGCTTTAATATAATTTGTGAATTTCTGTCTGCTGCAAACTAATTGCTTAATTTGAATTTGAATATTTAGCTATGGGCTTGTTTTTAATTACTTTTTCAATATATATATATATATTTTTTTAGCAGTTTTAAAGAGGAAGCAGCATTTATTATGGCATATGTATATAGCTCAGCGGAAGTTTTTCTGTAGTTCTAACTCCCCATCAATGTTATACATGTATGTATATTTATATATATGTGTGTGTGTGTCTGGCAAGCAAATTTGCATTTTGTTTTGTTGCAATGACAGCTTTTGATTTCGTTTTATTTAGTTGGTAATTATTTATGTTGGAAGCAATAAATTAAATATTGTTGCAATTATTTTGCTAAATTTTGAAAGTTGTTTTGTATCAACATGAATATTTCTATGTACATTGAAAGTGCAAGCATTTAAGTGTTTAGTTTTATTTTTGTTTTCATTTTCTTTTTTTGAGTAAGTTTCAAAATTGCAATTTTTGGTTTTTTTAGAAAACACAGTAAATTTGTGTTAATATTGTATTTTTGACTGACTGGAAGTGAGTTGGACATTCGAATTAAACTAAACAAGTAAATAAAAATAAATAAAGTGTGCAATTTAAAATGAATGTCAATATTTTTGTAAGATATTTGGAAATATTTTAAGAAGCCCAAACACTCCCAGAAGTGCTAACAACTACGCTTTGCATAAAATGTTAATTAACAGTGAGGGCACTGTTAATTAACATGATTAGATGCTCAGGCTTTGTTTTGTTTTAATATAACGCTTAACACACACATTATTTCTCATATCGGCATATAGGCATACATACATATATAGATATATATAGCTAGTTACATATATAGTGTACTTTTGACATGACATACATTTATATATACTCATACTCATATTTATAGGTCATATATGTGTACATATACTCTCACTTTTTGCTTGCAAGTAAATATTATGTAAAAATTAAATCATTACATTTATATACTTGAAAAACTCTTGTTTTTTTCTTACTATTGTTGTATTTTGTTGTTGTTGTGGGTTTGTTTTAGTCTTCTAAATACATTTTACGAAACATACACACAAGAATCGCTACTATCTTCGATCCTGCATGACCACCTGCTTAAAGGCACCCGCCCGCACGCTTGACTTGACCTCGTGCCCGCCAAGAGAGGCAGTGCCATCACGCGCTATATACAGCTGCAGGCCAGATGCTGAATTAAAAGATAGTGTATATTTTAGATAGTAATTTAAGCCCCAATAATAAACATTAATACTCACTCTCAGCAGACTCGCCTAGCTGATCCAGCTTGGTATCCTTCAAAATCTCATCGATTAAAGAGTTGGGATTGACGCGCGTCTCCTCGACACGATCCGAAACTCGCGGCCCATCATCGAGGGCGCCCTTTTTGCGTTTCTCACCGCTGCTTTTCGTGCGATCTAGAGATCCTGTTTCACTTATAACTAACGATCCGGAACTGGGATTCCTGTGAAGGCAAAACAACAGCATGATGAGCAAATATTTTAAAAACAATAATTAATTGTATATTGTGTATATAAATAGAATATAAATTAAAGTATATACGCGGTGCTATTTGCTTATGTGAACCCATTTGCTAAGAAATAAATGTGAATAAGCGCGGTATACAAAATAAACACACGATATATATAAAGGGGGCGGGCCACTTGTGGCAAGTAGAGAGGGCGGGGGGAGGGCAATTAAATCTGGCCATGCCATGCAGAACATATATGTGTGTGTATGTGAGCTATGATTACAAATATTCGAATAATGCGGACAAAAACGTTTGCGACGTGAACCAATGAAACGCTTATAAATAGAACAAGTTCCAAAAAACTTCACACAGGCTTAAAATAATAATGAATTATAAAAGTAAATTAACATAACAATTTGACAATCGATCTTTAGTTATGGAATCGTAGCACACACATATTATAAGAAAATAAATTCGTAAATTTAATTTACATATCGAACATAAGCACAGTTTTCTGTACATCCAATTGATTGAGTTTTTAACAAAAACACATTTTATAAATAATACGTCTAGCATACTCATTAGAGCTGGAAAATATGTCAAATATACTTAAACATAGTAATATGCCCCATTTTCTGTACGTTGTTTAAACAAATTATATCATAGACAACAATAATATCATAAACAAATAATATCATAGAACAACAAATAATATCATAGAACAAATTTGTTCAGTTTGATAATATACAAAATTTTTTAATTACAAAATAATGAATTAATCTTTATGGTATACTTTATAGTATAGTATATAGTATATAAATATAAACAATAAATTTGATATGAGCAATCTTTCATATTTTTTTACTTAAGGATCATATTTTCTGGGATGACATCTTCTGTAATGCTTGCACTTTATAATACTTGATCTTTATACCGACTCTGAAATGATAAGCTTCATATATAAATTATACGGACAGACAAAGTAAGGAGCCTGTCATAAATTTCGTATAGTTTTCCAGCTCTATTGAACATCATAATAAAGTATAGTGTGGACAATTACGAGTCAAAGATTTACGAGCACAACAACAACAATAATAATAACAGCCAAAACTTAAGAGCTAACAAATGGATACAAAGAGGCAGGCAACTAAGTAGAAAATTCGTTGTGAGGAATATGCAACCCACATCATGGTGATGCTGGGCCGGCGTATGATCTGTGTGGTAGCCAGCGGAGAGAGCGTTGCGCCTGACACGGACATCGTGGTGGCCGAGGTCATGGCCGATGCCTCCGCTGCTGCAGCGGACGTGGAGAGCAGCAAGGAGGCAGCCGAAGGATTCGAGCGTATGCTGCACGCATCGGTTGGACTCGCTGCCAGCGAGCTGAGTGCATCTCCGGACATGACATTGCCCAGCCGTGGACTGCTGCCATGTCCATTGGGCGAACCCAACAGCGTCTGCTGCGATTGCGCACCGTCCACGGTGTCCTGGTTGTTGCTGCTGCCCGGATTGCACTGGAAGGTGATGAGGGCGCCGCTGCTGCTGCTGTTGCTGCCGTTCGACGAGGATGCCGAGTGATTCGAGTGGATGCTGGCCAGAGTGCCGCACGGCGAGCAGCTGCTGCCCATCGCATAACCGCCAGAGTTGGACGTTGCTGCCGCTCCTCCAGCTGCTGCCGCAGCCGCTGCCTGCTGTCGACTGCAGCTGCTGCTGCTGTTGCCGCTGCTGTTGTTGCAATTGTTGCTGCCGCCGTCGAAGAGGCGACGTGGCACACCGCTGAAGCTTCTGCTTGTTGCGCGTTTCGTTTCGGATTTAGATTAGTTCATAGACACAGTTACAGACCAAAGCGTTATGTTTGGTTTGGATATATCGGAAGACATAAGAAATAAAAAACATTTGCAAAATATGCACAATAAACATGAGTAAATAGTATTCCAAACGAAATACCGGTATTAGAGAGTAATATTTATAAATATATATGTATGTATATAAATATATTTTGGTATTTAATTTCAACTCAAAAAATTGCTCTGACAGGCACTTTAAAGTACTTAAGTCGAGAAGCTTTTTAATTTTAGATTTATGCACTTTATATGATAAGATACGATTATTTTTAAACATTGTATATAATAAATGTATAGATAGGCATATTTATCAGTGTCTTTTGTCTTTTGTGTTCGTATGTGTGTGTGCGTGTTTAATATTATTAAACAAATTATAAATGTAAAAAAAAAACAAACAAAATATAATTGAAGCTTGAACTGGAAATCCCTAGACACAATTAATCTTTTCCCAGATTTCTTTCTTCTTATATCTATCAGATTGGAATCTCGACTGGCCTATAATTTTTTATTTTTTTTTTTTACCAGGGTTTTTTAGTCGGAAAATATGCATAAACGTGAGAAAATATATATGTGCCAAATGAGTCACATTTCTTAGAATATATTTTTCAATACAGTCTTTTCGTATTTTTTATTTGTTTGGGTTGCTTTTTAATTGGTTAAGTAGACAAATGTATGCTGACGCTAGAGGTATTAAGAGGAAAATCTTCAAATATATACGTAAATGCATTTTTTATTTAATGAATATTCTTGGGAATTTTCTGAACTTCTTCCTGTAGGCATTTATGTATGATTGGTTCTGTGGAATGAATTCTAGTCAACAATTTTGGCTTATTTATAAGCATACATTTTGTATGTCATATTTTTCTGAATGGATGGATTATTGTTATTTGCAGCCTGAATATTGATTTAGCCCTGACCTTTCTCATATTTAGAGCTAGCTTTTATTCATATCTTCAATCTGAGTTGCCCGTTCCTGCTTTAAAAATTTATCGCACACTCGACTCTAATAAAAATTCCAGTGAGTGCTTTGCAGCTATTGTAAAATTTATAAAGCAGCAGACAAAAAAAGTTTCAACAGTTGTTTTTTAGCCCAGCCAAATGGAGGCCAAGGTAAGAGTTTAGAAGGCCAATTGGCCGACACGAGGTTGACAGACACGGGGCACATTGGCCGGGTGAAGCGGGTAGGAGTTTCAGAGGACACATCCTTGCCCCAGTTTAAATCAGAGTTGGCCTTAAAGGACAGTTTTACAAGGGAAAAAGAGGTTTTGGGGAACAGGAGGAAGTACAAACGGAATTCATAGAACATTGAAGATATCAAAGTGCAAACTTTTAAGTGCTGCCCAAATGAAATCAATTTATTTAAAAACGTAAATCATAACTGAAACTCCAAACGAAGGCCTCTTAATTTATCGACATGTTAAAGTAGAGTTGGGTGAGTAGAGTTGGCTTAGTAACTGTAGAACCAGAAGCTACTTTTAACTGTACAATAAATTGACCAACTTGACCAGTGCTAAACCCCTTGGTATATAGTAATAGTAATTACATATTTAAAAAGATTAGCTTACAACTAAACTTAGGTCTAACTTAGGCACCCTGCGAAAATGTGCGCAGGGCCAAACCGGGCATATTGATTAGTAAAAAATAATAAATAAACTCGAACGAGAACAAAACAAAACAAAACGCAAAAAAACATAACCAGAAACAA